GACTGGTGGGACACTACACTCCAGGCTTGTGTTTTCCTGCCATGGCAGCAGCAATGACAGCAAGTAGGCAGCTTGGTAAGAGATCCAAGTGGTCACAAAATGGTAAAGTGCTCAGAGCCCTTCTCTAATGCCAAGGTGTCACGGTTCTATGTATTTTGTTTTTTGGGTTTCAGTATTCCACATCAAAACTTCATGCAGTGTACGGGGCATTAAAGTGTCACTGCTCCAATCCCAGGTACCTATCCCTGTACATTACGGGAGTCACGGGATCTGGCCCTTCCAGGTGGGGGGGCGCTCTCTTGCTTTCAGAACATGACAACAGAACATTTCTGTTTAGTGTTTCAGCTTAGGAGAGACAGTTCAGCAAGTGATTCGTGTGCGCGCAGTTGATTGCAACTATCAGTTTTTAGAACCACAGAGCACCGGATGAAGCGTGTTAGAACTTTGCCTTAAAGAAAAATGGAGGGTTTGGGGAAGAAGCCAATAAGTTCTTGTTTTAGTTCAGTTCATTTCTTGTGCCTGTTACAAAGGAAGACATTGATGTGTTAAGTGCATAACCAAATGAACTTTGTTGTTAAAGGGAGAGACAGCGCTTGACCTTGCAATTCAAACTCAGAATCGCTTTGTCGTTTATATGTTAATGGAGGAAGGAAGAATGAGAAGCAGAAGGAATGACAGGTTACTGAGAATGATGGAGAAATACGAGGTAATGTCACTAATGGAAGGAAAGCTTCAGCGTTCCGTGTTCAGAATAATCTGTAACTTACCTCCGTTCTGACAACAGGATCTTCTAGGCTTCCAAACCTGGACACTCAAAAATGAAATGTTTTAGAAGCACCTTCCTGTTCTTTGGGTGTTTGTTCCCCCCTTTCGCCCCCCCCCCCGTTGTTGTTTTCCCTGCCTCCTTATCCCCTGTGTTTTGATGTGTCACTTTGTTCCCTATCTTGAGTCACTCAGCATTCGTTCTTATATTAAGTGTATATATTGGAATAAATCCTGCTTGAATATTCTGTCAGATTTTAACAGTGATCATTTTAACAGCTGTTCCTGCTGCTGGCATCTTGCTTGACTGATGTGGGCCATAGGATACGTAATGAACTTGAGTTCTGATTCCTGGCTTTTGAAAGGATGCCTGCTTCTCTTTCTGCTGGTTGGGATGGCTCTGTCTGTGAGGTTTGTGGATTTCTCTCTTTCTGTGTATTTAATTCTAATAGATGCAGTACGTGGTACATAATGCAGTGTTCTTTTCAGAGTCTGCAGCTTCACTTAGAAGGTTTTTTGGTTTAGTTTTTTTTTGCTGTACTGTAGAAAGGATCGTGTGAAGGATTTAAATATATGTACTTTTCATAATGATTTTGAAATGTGGTGTCTTCAGATGGTCAAAATTGTAGTTTCTGATCCTTGAGATCTGAGGAGAAAACAAGTGTTGAGGTGGCATGTTAGCTGGTCTTAATGATAAAGAGGGTGTTACTGAATGCCTGTACCTGACAGAAGCTGAGATACCCATTTATGAAGTTTATAAATGTGCTTTATCTTAACTTTTCCCTATGTATTTGCAACATAGCATGAGTTTCAATGTACCGTTCCCACCCTCTGTGTTCCCCAGACCTCCTAGTGGTATCCTGAGCTGTTTTGCACATTTCCCATTTCTTACAGCAGTTACTAAATTGTGTTCCTGGAAATGGCAATACTGTTGTGTCAATAAATAGAGTTTGTCCTTTTCACCTAATGCGCAGCTGCTCGGATATGTAAAATTAGGCTGGACAGAACACTCCTCAGTAGATGTTTTTCTGTATCACGAGTTCCTCTGTGCATCTGGCTAAAGCATGCTTCTGAGTGGCAATTTTGGTTTGCTTTGTTGGAAATATGCAAATAATTTTCTAGGACGGTTTCTCTGGTAAAGCAGATTTTATTCACAATTGCAGTGGCGGCCTCCTGCAAGCAGGAGAGCCCCGAGAAAACAGCGTTACGTCTTTTGTCCCTATTGCCGCCGCTGATCTCCTTCTCCCCTGCTTCCTCATTGGCTGGGTGCTGCAGATTCACACTCTTTCGCGAGGCTTCACTAATCACACAAACACCAAGTAGATACAGATCTTTGCTGCCCAAACACAAATGTGTTTGTGCATTCAAAATCTATCACAGCTTTGTGAGAAAGTAGTTACCGAATCACCTACAAATATGTTTCTAAGTATGTTACTAATATATATGTGGTGTTCTTACTTATCACATCAGCTATTTAGCTATTTCTAAGGATATGTCACAGCTTAATTCTTTACATCAGCTGCCCTTTTCAGTGTTCAATGCAGAAACAGCACTTTCACTTTCCACAGCTTTAACAGAGGCTTAATGAATACCGAGTGAATTTTTAAAAATCAATTAAAAAAAACCAGCTGTAATGCATGCCTGTGAGGGATACACATGTATGGTCGTTGCCATGAAAATCCTGTTATTAACTGTTGCTTTGTGACGTTCTAAGGTTTTCTTGGCGTCGTCTAAATTAAACGAAAGCAAGAATTCTAACTGTAGGGGTTAAAGGTAGACGTTCTGCAGAAGATGATGAACACAGCAATATTCCTAAGGGCTGTGGCTTAGTGAGGTGATGTTTTGCTCTTTCTATCAAACCCTTGCTCTGTGGAGGTCAACGCCATTCTTTTAGTTTTTGTGTATTGCTGGTGAAATACCACACTCTGATGGTAGAAATATTTATTTGGCAAAACATAGTGAGAGAATATATTCCTTAATCTAACTGTTACATGTGACCAATGCCATTGTTGAGATCCCTGTCATGCTCAGCCTAGTGGGTCTTCTTTATTTTTTCTATAAAGCCGGAGGACTGATCCTGGATATCTTAAGTCTTCAGAAAAAGACAAAAAAGAGGTAAGCTGACAAGCTGCACCATGGTTGCACTTCTGATTGACTCATTTATCATCAAATGTATCTTTGAGATTTTATTGTATCATCAAGCAGCGCAGGTTGTTGGATGATAAACCCAGCCTGCTGTGGGTTTATCTTCAGCACCTTGCTGTTGCTTCCTGGCCTCGGTCTCCTCATTGGAATATGAGCTTCAGCCAAGCATGGTACGGCCTGGTGCCTTTGCTATAACCTATAAACCATAAAGTCACAGACACTTCACTTAATAAATAACACTCCTGTAAGGCTTTTGTTCTAGCTGTCTCTGGTGAGAAGGAGGTGCAGTGCTTTCCTAAGGTTGTCCGTACTGAAGGCTAGCAATGATGAGCATCTTCAGATATTCAGTGTTTTCTCGCTGTGCTTTACAATGACAGAAAAAGGAAATGCACTACCAGTCAGTAGGAGGTTACTTGTTTGCTCCTTTAAGCTAGTGACTGTGACTCTGTGTGGTTTACAGTCTCCTTTTGTTCTCCACGTGGTGATGTTTCTCCTGCTTGCCAGGGAGATTAAACTGCAATTTTAACTTTTTTGACATTGTGGCCACAGAACTGGTGAATATTGGCTATCTGATGCCCACAGAGAACCAGTGAGTGCTTATCAGGGCAAGATAGGCAATACTTACCAGTCTTTTTGCAATGGTGTTGAAAAAGTTTCTGTCCTCATCCCTTTTGAAGTCTGGCTGACTGTGTGGGGGAGGGCTGCTTTCCTAAATAATTCACTGTGATTGAGGTTGCACGAGTCCTTGCCTTCTTGTGGCCCTTTTCTCTGTTCCAGAACCGCAGGTATTTCCACGTATTGTTGCTCAGCACTCCAAGTGCTCAGTGTCTGCAAAAGGCCTCACGTACAAATCTTCATAGGTCCCATAAAACGTGATCCAAGTGCACACAGAAACTCTTCTGTCTTTCAGAACATTGCAGCTCTAGCAGAAGCAGGGTGCTTGGACTTCAGAACATTCTGCACGTCATGTCTTGTAAGTAAGGTTTTGATATTCCTTTGCTTTTTTGAAACCTGTTTTTCAGTCAGTAGTCGTTCAGTACAATACCTGTTTTTCTCCTTGTCATGCGAGTGCTCCATACGCTGCTTGTTCTGGGCTAGATTTCATTTTCTCACTTCTGGTGGCAAAGCAGTTTTCAGATCGTTGGGTTTCATTCTTAATTTAAAAAAAAACAATAGAAATTCCATCTTTTTCTTTCTTTTTTTTTTGGTAAGATTTAGAAAACTTCTCATCTGTGTTCTGTTTTGGAGGCCCACTATATACTAATAGTTATAAAATATGCTAGTACCCATGAGGTGATGCTCTGAGCTTTGGTCAAAGCAGCTGCTTTTACTCTGACTGTATTCGTTTCCTTTGCTCTCAAACAGGTAAGGAAGCCTTTGAGATCTGTGCACTGCGCTCCTTGTGATTCATGTGTAGCCAGATATGATCAGCATTCTCTGTGGATTGCACAGTGCAAAGACAGGTAAGAGTCTTTGCTTTAGCAAAGCTGAAAATTTCATGCCTTAAGAGATGTTGCAGAAATAACATTTATCTACTTAAAGAGCAAACCTGATGCAAGAGCACACTGTAGAGACTGCAGGGGTTACTGAGAGTTGCCCGAGAGTCTTATCTGATAGAAATCTATTTTTTTAAGAGCTAGCAGTTTTAGGACACATCAAGGTGGTGCAATGAAATTGAACAGTACAGGTTTTTCAGTCTTCCAAGACAGCTGTGCAGTGCATGGGCAGAGCTGTGTTAGCATAATGAGACCCCGTCCAGCTAACAGGGATGTGCTCTAAAGAAGAGACAAATGCTGGCTGACTTCACCAGAACTGATTCTATTATATAAACTGAAATGGCTTAGAGATCAGCTTTGTCAAAGTGTCTTGAGGACAGCAGAGGTAATAGTAGGAAGTGCTTTAGATTCTTCTTTTTCCTGTAAAGTGGAGGAGAAATACAAGTACTGCAAAATTCTTAAAATGTCACGCTGGTTTTTTTCTTCTTCCTTGACTCGAATGTAGGTGTTGGGAGCCATCATTACTACCTGTTGTTCCTGTCTTCCTTAACTGTGACCAGTGTCTGGCTGCTTTATCGAAGTCTTCTGTGTATGTATCAGTGAACTTACTTCAGTTTAGCTGTCAGGGACCCGTGTATGGTTTTTATTCCTAGCTAGCATAACTAATTATAACTGCACAAATGGGCAACTCAGTCTAGTTCCATCCCCATCTCAGGAGTTGGAACTGAGTGATCTTTAAGGTCACTTCCAGCCTAAGCTGTTCTGGGTTTCTGTACTGTAGAAATGAGTCAGTGTTCTACTTGGAGTAAAATGAACCAGGTATGGCAGTGGTGGACACAGAGTGAATGTGAGTTGCTTTCCCGTGTTTCAGTGTGGTCTTAAGTGTGCAGAAGTACAGTGTTTTCTGTTTTCCGTGTTCACGTGAACAGGGGAGGAAAACCACCTGATTGCTGTACTGACATAACAGCAAAACCTGTACTGGTTTTGTGTTTTTTAAGACATGTCATAGGGTTTGAGCATCTCTTAGAAATCTACAGGAGCTGAATATTCCAGTTTGTTTGTTTAATAGTGTGAAAAGTACTGCTTTCTTGTCACTGTTACAATCTTCTTTTGTTGGTGGTGGTGTTTAAGACAAATCCTAAAACTAATAATTAGGGTGCAGCAAAATTTCAGAAAGCTGGACGACGAGAGGTAATTATTATTTCAATATCACCAGTTCACTTTAATGTAAAAAGGGAACAAAGTGTCCAGCCAGCTGTTGGAATGTTCCCTCTGTGGATTATGGACACAGAAAGTAAAGGTTGTGCAACGAGAGCAGCAAGCAGTGGCGTATCCATGTGAGTGTTTTGAGTGGGAAGCGGTGTTTTGAGAGCACACTGCTCTACAACACTTTGTGCAAATATTCTTTGCTTAGTACAGGAGTGGTCAATGTTAGAAAGGTAACGAAATGATTGTGAACCTTGTCAGATTGGTCAAACCACTGCATAACAAGTTACCATGCAGATGGACATGGACGTACTTCACACAGATAACTTCTTGTTCTCCATGGCTGTCCTACAGCTTCATGCTAGCCTGCTTCCATACTGGATGGGCTTCATTGTGGCTAACTATTCAGCTCTACCAGGGATTATTTTGCTTCAGTTCACATTCCTCTCGTCATTAGCTGCCACATGAACATGTTTCCCTAAGTGATGTGTTGCCTTAAAGGCATTGCACCTGCTTTCCTATTCTGACGTCATATCTGGGTGCTCCCCTTAAACCTCAGAGCAGTCCTTTCAAGTTTCACGGGTACGTGTGCACTTGTTATTCTGATGTTAAAAGTGGGATCCATTCTGCACGGCATTCCTATATCTGAATTCTAACGGCACCGTTGTCAAAAGTTCTAGCCTGTTGTGTGGGAACTGTTGAGTCACAGCCTGAGCCACTGTTGGAGCCCCTGGGGGAAGGACTGGGTCAGGCCTGGGAGCACAGGTGAAGGCAGTTCAGCTGTGTGACTGGAAGGGGTGGAGCCTGGCTGCACGTCTCTTAGACCCCAGTGAAGGGCTGACTGCCCCTGGGGAAGGAGCTCTTTCTGGAGATCCCTCCCTGGTGGAGTTTTCCCCTGTGAGCCTAGATCTGTGGAGATGAGGGAGGTGTTATAAGGGAAGGGGAAAAGATTGTTTTCTGTTGCTCTGGTCCCTCTGTCATTGCACCTCTTGTGTCCCCTTTCCATTGGGTTGGTCTTTCTGATTGTGAAACATGTTTAACTAACGTGTTTAACTAAGGTTGAGCTAAGCTGTTGTTACTGTCCCAAAATGGCCTGCGAACTCCAGTTGGAAATTCCACGGCAGAGTTCAGCAGTGTGTTATTAGGTTGCCGCAATGAAAACGTGACCTGAATTTCATCCCCATAAGGGCTGTCAAGTTTCTTTAAGTTTGTCCTTCTCCAGGAGGTGTTGGCTAAGCAAATGAGGTTAAGAGCTTTCTGAACCACCTAAGAAACAGCTTTTTAACATGGCTTAGGATTCTCTTTTGGCTTAAGTGAAACTTAAGATCAACTTTTAAGTCCCTAAATGTGGCAGGAGTTACTTAGTGGTTAGATATGGCCAACGTCTTCCCAATCCCTCCCCAGTTAAGATTATCTTTTGGTATTGTCAGTATTTACATTTGTCATGTTCATATTTCAGCCGTTACTCGTGTTTTTCTTTCTCGAAGACTGCATTCTTGGGACTGACCTCACATGAGAGAATGAACCTCCTGATGGAGAGCAAATCCTCTAAGCATCCTCTTTCACTCAGGAGAAATCCATACAAGTAAGTGCTGTAGTGTGCGGTGTTTCAGCTGTGTTTCCCTCCAGTTCTGGCCTGCTTCACTGCTGCAAGAATGCCAAACCTGAGCCATCTGTGGGCACGCTGGTCACGCCTGTTCTGAGTTATGCCAAGAGGAAGAGAGAGGCAGGGAGGACAATGTCCTTGAGTGTACTCATCATTCTCTGTGTCTGTTCTTTAGGTCTAGGGGGGGAAGGTTGTTATGAACCAGCCCTTTCTGAATTCTTTTAGCTTCATAAAGAAATTACTACCAAAGTTTCCCTGTTATACTGAAAATCTTAATTTCCTCATGTGCTAGCAGATGAAATCTTCCTTAGCGTTAACTTCAAAAATTTGAGTTGAACTCCATCTTCTATCCCTATTAAATGTGACGCAGGTTAAAAAATGTCAACAGAGGAGTAATGATGAATGGAACGTTGTTGTGTTTCTTCTCTTAGAGCTGTCTTTGCCGACAGCTTTATCCCTTAACTACTGCTTCCCTAGGGATCACGTATTGTTAATGCCTGCTGTTGTCTTTTGTAGGTTTATTAATGAGTATTTCTCATTTTTCAGTCTTGGATGCTTCCAGAATCTTGCCGACTTCTTTCAATGCAGATGTTTTGGTATGGTCAAACCCAGTGGAGTTGGCTGGACCAAGCAATACAACGTTCACGTGATAAAGAAGAAAAACGTTTGCTGTGTATGAATTCTTGCTTGATTTCTAAAGCTGCTGAGCTGTGTGAGAAATAAAACTGGATGTTTTGTTAATTTTTATATTCTTCCAAAATCTGCTTGTTTTTATTTTTTTATTGTTCTTAATATTAAAACTTTCTTGTGTAAGGGACAGCAGGTGCGGGTATGAAACAATTACTGTGCCTCTTTATGTACAGCATGAGCTGACACTTTTTGAAATTTTATTTGAAAAGGTGACACTAAATATACTTCCTCAAAGGGTTGTTTTTAGGGCAGAATTTGGAGACTTTGTTAGTGCCCTTTGTATTATTTTGCAAATAATAAAATTGCATTTGAAAAATGAAGGGGGAAGTTCAATATCAAAATTGGCCTGTAAGTGGTTATCTTAGATTGTGAACACAACCTAATGACGCTCTGTATTTGGGTGTTTTACTTGTGACAAAATAGAAATTTTAATGCTTCTAAGAATATTTTACAGGTTGAAACAGATTTGTGAGATATATGAGCAGGGAAGTGTTTAAGAACAGGTAAGCACAAAGCCATAAGTGAAAGCCTGTTTGCCTTACGTTTTGCTTGTGCGCATGCCCTGTTAGCTTCTGGAAATTGATAAGGAGATGATAGAAAGTATTAGCATGTATGGAAAAGACAACTATTCTCCCCGGCATGCACAGATCTATAACAGCTGCCACATCAGTCATGTTCACAAGATGCGAAGGCTGCAGCATCGTTCCGGCGTGGCAGGCTGGGCAGTGTTGGCAGTGTGTTCATAATAAAAACTGGCAGGGAAGCAGATTGAGATCAGAAAACCAAAGTTCAATGCTGTCTAGAACTGACAGTGCAGAATAAAGCAGTGTAATGAGTCAGAGTTCTTGCAGGTAAGGAATGGGAGGTATCATCTTCCCCCTGAAATGCAGTAGTTGTGGCACCGTGGGACGTAAAGCACAAGCAAATTGAAGTAAACAAAAATGTGAAGCAAAATGAGTGCTTTATTTAGCTTGAAAAATGTACAATAACAAAACTGAAACACTGTATTCTAAGAAAACTTGCTTTTTCTTCAGAAGGCTCTCCCTTTTAGAGAGAGAATTTCATATTCTTCTGAAGTATGTGTCCAAGTAACTGATGTCTACTCTGTCCTAGTAGAAACAATGTCGAAATCTTCAAAACGCTAGGAGGAAACTGGCCTAGATCAGAAGACCGTAGTGACAAGCTGCCCATTTTGCTTCATAGGGTATGTTGGTCTGAATGGGACACCTCTGACCCTTGTGATTCATGGGGTAGCTCTGTCTGAATGGGACAACCTGGAGGTTCTTACCTACGAACTCCAACAGCTGTAACGTTCCCTCAGCCCTGCTCTGTCACATCTGTCTCCCATCCCTTCCCCCTTTGGACCTAGTATAAAGACCTGGTAATCAATTACAGAATGACAGAATGGCCCAGGGTTGGAAAGGACCTCAAGGATCATGAATCCCCAACCCCCCTGCCACACGCAGGGCCACCAACCTCCCCATTTAACGCTAGACCAGGCTGCCCAGGGCCGCATCCAACCTGGCCTTGAACACCTCCAGGGATGGGGCATCCACAACCTCTCTGGGCAGCTGTTCCAGCACCTCACCACTCTCTCTGTAAAGAATTTCCCCCTGACATCCAACCTAAATCCCCCCTCCTTCAACTTCAAGTTGTTTCCCCTTGTCCTGCAGTTGTCAGCCCTTTCCAAGAGTTGATTCCCCTCCTGTCTGTAGGCTCCCTTTAGGTACTGAAAGGCTGCAGTGAGGTCACCCTGCAGCCTTCTTTTCTCCAGGCTGAACAAGCCCAGCTCCCTCAGCCTGTCTTCATAGGGGAGGTGCTCCAGTCCCCTGATCATCTTCGTGGCCCTCCTCTGGACCCTCTCCAACAGCTGCCTGTCTTTTTTGTACTGGGGGCTCCACAACTGGACGCAGAGAGCTTGTTCCCCAGCACACTTCTGCCCTGCTTGCTCACTTGGAGTCCATCAGGAGCCCATATACCGAATTTCTCAAAGGCCTGCCCGAGACCAAAACGCCCAAAGCCTTGATCGAGACGCCATCCCCTAGCCAGTCATTTACCTGACACGTTCTCCTCCATCTTTGTGGCTCCCAGCTACCCACCAGAAGGGCACAGGAGAACTCTGCCCGCACCCCTGATCCCTTCAGCATCTTTCCTCGTTGCAGCATCCTGGGTCCCAGCCTGAGTGACAGTAGAAGGAGAGCAGTCTTGTGCCTTAATGAGCCACAGACGAACCTTCCTGATGCCTCTAACACGTGCCCCTGGAAGAGATCACGCCTCGCTGGAGCGATTATCCCGGTGGCAACTGGGAGCCTCAGTGCTCCCCAGCAAGGAGTCCCCAGTTACCAAGACTCTCCGCCCTTTTCTGGTGGCACTGGTATTGATGCAGTGCCTGACGGGCCCCGCTCCCTCTGCCTGTTACTCCCTGTACTCTCAGTGTGCTTCTCAGGGCATGAGTTTGGACTACTCCTTGCTATCCGTCTCCTGCGGGAGAGGGCCTCGAATCTGCTACTCAGGGACACTGTAGGGGATATTGCAGGGGTTGGCAATGCTGTGGGGGCTTGGGGGCAGATGCTTTCTTCTGCTTTGAGCGGAGATGAGGGTCCAACCCCTTTCCTCTCACGGGCTCTCTAGATCCCTGACCTGAAGGTAAGCAGCTGGATGGGCTACTGCCACTTGCAGGAACTTTGGATAAGGCTGCGTTTCTGCAGTGGAAGTAGGCTCACACCTCCTCCTATCTGTCTCCCTCAGATATTCCCATGCGCTCCTAAGGCTGCTGATTTCTTGCAGCAGCCTGGCCGTCTGCTCCAGCAGCTCCTTGAGAAGGATACACCTGCAGCCAGGTTCTTTTAACTTAACAGGGAGAAGGGATAGGCAGATGGGAGCTGAGCTCAGGGGAGGAAAGCAGGCAGCAGCAACAATCTATGGAGGAAAGCTTGTTTTACTAACTAGGATGTGGGAATGCAAGATAACGCAGTATAATACAATCTAATTGAAATTGAGACTGATGGATCAAATAAAATAGGAGCGAAAGAGAGTTACTGAGAGCGAGTCAAAACTGAAAAGCCTGGTACATGTAGGGAAGCAGACTCCTATCCCTGCTGCAAGGCAGTAAGAGATCGCCCAACAGGGAAGGGGCAGATCCCATGGCTTCCGAGATGTGCAGGGACAGGTGCCTGGAACAGGAGCACGAACACTGTAACTCCCAGCGCATGGCACGGTGTTATGATGCAGAATACCAAAAACCAAAAGCCACAGAGCCATGAAAGTGTGGTGAGATATTTCCTGTATTGGAATCTAAATGGAAATCACAATGAGCTGGGTGGCCTACTGCTTCTCTTCTGCAGTGCCAGACAAGTCCATGTACCGCAGCACCGCTGCAGGTCGTCCTACGGCCCAGCGCTGTGGAGGGCAGTTCTGCCCAACCCCGTGACGTCTCTACCCCCCAGCGCAGCTTACAGCCACTGTGCTCAGCCTCCATGTTGAGCTGGGGCCCCACGGCCGCCCCCCCCCACAGCGCAGAGGGCCGCAGCCCCGCCCTCCATTATGAGCTGGGCCGGAAGGCCGCACCGGCCAATAGCTGCAGGCCGCAGCCCCGCCCGCCATTATGTGCCAGGCAGGCCCGCGGTATAAAAGGCCGCTGGCGCAGCCCCACGGCATTCACTGTCTGCACTGTCTGGCGACAGGGACGAGAGGCAGTGGGCGCTACGGGGTCAGGGGCAGCTGTCCTTGAGACCCCAGCTAGGAGTGACCGTCGGTGGCCTTTGGCCACAGCGTTTGGAGGCCGAGGGTCTCCTCACATCCCCGTGATGACCATGGTGCGGGGCAACGCGGGACGGGGCCAGGCAAAGCAGAGCAGCCGGCCCAATCCCCGCCGGGGCCCAGCAAAGCCCCCTGCCTGCCCTGCGCAGCGGGAGGAGCGCGGGCGGGGGCTGAAGGCGCTGCGGGCCCAGCTGGAGGGCGAGCGGCTCCGCTCCCAGGAGCTGCAGCGCCGCTGGGCCGCTGAGAGACGTGAGCTGCAGGAGGCGGCACAGCGGGAGCGGCAGCTCCTGGCCGACCGACTGCGCTCCACCTGGGAGCGGCAGCAGGCGTCAAAGCATCAGCGCCTGCAGGAGCAGAGCCGCAAGCAGCGGCATGCAGAGATCCGCCAACTGATGCAGGAGAAGGCGGCCCAGCTCTGCCAGATGCAGCAGCGGCTTCAGCAGCGGCGCAACAACACCGTCCGCCAGGCACAGGATCTGCTGCGGCAACTGGCGAAGGTGCTGCTGAGTGTCAACTGCAGCAGCCACAAACTGCGGCAGGAAGTCCAGCGGCAGCTCTGCAGAAAGTCCCATGGAGAGCAGGCCGCCCACGTCCTGCGCCTGGAGCGTGAACTGCAGGAGCAGAGGAGTCGCTTCCTGCATTACATCCTGGAGCACGGTGAGGGGCAGCTGCCCACCTTCTGCACCGGGCCCAGGGCTGCAGCCGTTGGGCCGTGCACCCAGCAAAGGCCGGCCTGCCATCAGACTGCAGCAGAGGTGGGTGTTCAGGCTGCAGAGCAACAAGAGGCCTGCCCACCTGAGCACATGGAGCTGGAGGCGCTGCGGGCCCAGCTGGAGGGCGAGCGGCTCCGCTGCCAGGAGCTGCAGCGCTGCTGGGCCGCAGAGAGACGCGAGCTGCAGGAGGCGGCACAGCGGGAGCGGCAGCTCCTGCCCAAACGACTGCGTTGTGCCTGGGAGAAGCAGCAGGCCCAGGAGGAGCAGCAGCTGAAGGAGTGGGAGCAGCGGCAGCGGGCGACAGAGACTCGGCAGCTGCTGCGCTGGAAGGAGGCCGAGCTGCACGCAACGCAGGAGCTGCTGGACCGGGAGTGCGATGCGGCCCAGCACGTGGCTCGCAAGCTGCAGCAGCTGCTGGCTGGGGTGCTGAGGAACCCCCCTCAGAGCGGCAGGGTGGCCTCCACCATGCTGCAGGACGTCCTCAGCAAGCTGGCCTGGGTGATGGACGGTGAGCAGCTCGCCCGTATCCGCCAACTCCAGCATCAGCTGGAGCTGGAGAAGAGGCTGTTCGAGCAGTACATCCTG